GTATTGAGAGTCTAGGCACATTCAGAGACATTTGAACCCAAGAAATGACTTCTGTACCCATCCTGGCCCCCTGTGTCTGACAACTGAAACAAGGCTGGGTTGTGGGAAAGCCTGGCTGTCCAACCCCAAATAGTCACCAATCCAGATGACAGTGGGCTTCAGGGAGAAGTGTGAGCACAGCTCTTAATATACACACATACAGGCATTAGTATAGCTGAAAAGCCAAACACACAAATGGGATGGTGTGTTGAAAGCTTGTGTGACACTCCTAATGGAAGGCTTTATGAGAACAGTGAGTTTTCAGTGGATTCTGGGGCAAGAGGGACCTGAGGGGCCAGGTAGGGGTTGGAAGTGGGTAAGGCAAAGGAGAACAAGTCTGGTCCAGATAAGAGGTCAGCTTCTCCGAACACATGGGTGAGCAGTGAAGGAAACCCCTTGTCAATGCCTGTCCTGTTTCTAGGCAGGGTTCCCTGGAAGTATCTGAAACTCATCAGAGGCTTCCAGTCCTACTTGTGACCCAGCAGCCCTGACCAAATGGGTCTGGAGTCCCCAGGCTTACCCCAGCAAGCCTCCATACTTTGCAATACTTTGCACTGCATGGTGACTTACACTTTCCAATATGTTTTCCAGCTTATTGTACCATTTGATCTACTCACTAACCCTGTGAGTAAATTCAGGCTCTTTGAAGTTGATTAACCTGTCCAAGGTCATCTTGCAAGTGACAGACATATCTCTGTCCCTGCACATTTTGCCACGTGAGGAAAAAAAAAAGACACCAAGAAAGAAAGGGGAAGAAAGTAATCGTAAGTGGTGAGGGTCTTGAAGGCCAGACTGAAGAGGCTGATTAATATAAAGAAGAAATTGGAGCCATCTCTGGTGTCTGGGAAAAGGTGATTTCAGATGAGATATGAGAAATGAGCCAGGATAGGGAAGAAACGATTTTAAAGATAGAGTAGAAATAAAGTTTTATTGGAAAAATGCTCATTTTCCCATTTTGGGATTGTGAGTTTCCTGCATCAGTCCAGCCTGATTTCCATTCCATTTTGATTTAATCCAGGTATCACAGCTACCAAAGTTTCTCAAGGCCCACATGTCTACCAAGTTGAAGACCTGTCAGGCCTTTAAGTGGCTGTCACATCTACTGGTTCCAGGCTCTAAGATGGCTACCAGAACTTAGGCCAGAATAGCACCCAGATAATAGTGGGGGAGAAGCTTGGAATGGGTGTTCCCCAGACAGGGGGGTCTAGGTGAGAGGTTTTAAATCGAAGGATTATTAGGGGGATGAGTAAAACTCAGTGGCAGAGCACATGCTTAGCATGCACGAGGTCCGGGGTTCAATCCCCAGTACCAGTGCTTCCATTAAAAAATAATAATAATAAAATAAATGGAAGGATTAGAGCCCTTTTGGGGAGAGGAGTAAACCCAGATCTTTTACTGCAGGATAAGAGGAAGCACAATGTTCTTCTGGCTCAGAAGGGAAGAGGGGGCCTTGGGTGACACCTTTGGGCTCATTTTTGGGAAGCTTTCTCCTCTTCATAGTATGATAGAGGAAATTCTGAGGGGTGTTGTCATTTCCTATGACTTCCAGGAGTCTAGGGATTTGGTTCATGAATCCTTCATGCTTTTCATGGTTCCATGTCCAAGGCAAAGGCTCTTTAGTCTCCCCAACAGGGGTGTTCCCAGGACTGTAGGAAGATTCCTTGGATTTGGAGAAGACTTACGGGCACCCCCACGTTGTCACTTCCATCATTTATTTTTTCAACCCTTTCTCCACACCAAAACCCATCTCCTGTTAGAAGCAGATTTCTCTTTGTTCTCTCCACTATTCCTCCCTCACTATCCCTATTTCTCTCAGTCCCCAAAACATACCAGGCTCACAACTTGACTCCTTCAGTATTTATTGTAGAAAACAAGGACTGGGTGGGGAAAGGAGCTCTAGGTCTGGCCCGTCAGTATTCAAGAGGCCCGCTGGGGATGGAAGATAATGGTCTAGACATCTCACTGGGCAGGAGGCTGTGTTTTGAGGTCCATGAAATTGCTCAGGAAGTTAATCAGATCAGTTCCAGCCTTCTTGACCAGGGGTGTCAGCTGCTCCTGTGTCTTCTCAAAGTAAGCCCTGGATATGTAAGGGATTAGAAGTCACCATGAAGAATTGGCAGGGACCTTGGTGGTGGTGGGAGGTGAGACCCAAGTCCCCAGACTCTAGTGCTTGGTCTGTCTTGGAATGGCAAAGCTCCTAGGAGGAGAGGTAAGCCCTCCACCGAGCAGAGGAACAGACCCCAGAGATAGAATTTCAAAGCCCAGTTCCTGCTGCCCAAGAGGTCCATGGGATCTATGGGGTGATCAAGGAATTTTCTCTCCAATTTAAATCCCATCCTCCCTAACCCCGACTCCTGAGCTCAGACTATGTGAGACCTCCCGGCTTCCCTTCTTTCTCTCCACAGCCCCCTGGTCCCTGAACCCCTTTTGCTGAGACTTACTTGGCCTGGGTTTGAAGCTCTGAGCCCTTGGCCTTCTCTACCAGGTCCTTGCCATAGTCGGTCACGGTCTGGAAGTACTGAGAGACCAGGCTCTGCAGACTTGGCTCCTCTGCCTGTCTCCGAACCAAAGCCCCTGCACACACACAGAAACACACACACACACACACACACACACACACGTTTCTTAGCTGGGTCCCCAACAATGGGTCCCATTTCTCTGCCAGTATCCAGCCCCAGCTCTCAGCCCTCTCCCCAAACAGGTATCCAGCTCCAGGTCTTTGGATGGGCTTTCTGGGCTTTAGAGAGGGAATGATTTTCCTTTTAAGCTCCCTGGTTGCCAGACCCGGGCAGAGGAGCACAGACTGATAAACAGCTAGGACCCAAGCACCTTCTCCTCCCTGGGACCCGTCCCCGTATCACACCCACCTTCAAAGCTACAGATGGTGAGGAGCAGCACAGTCACTGCAAGCAGCTTCATGGTGTTAACAGTGGGGAAAGTGGCCTGCAAACAGTTGGGGGTAGGGGAGGACACTGAAGCTGAATGGGCTTCAGCCCCTCCCCAGGGACCCCTACCTACATATCCACACCAACCTGATTCCCTCCCCTTCCATAATTAAAACCTGGTCCCCTTTGGATGCTGCCCAGACCTCTTGCTCCCTTACTGTACCTAGTCGGCGTCACTGTCCTTGCTGTCTGTGCCTGGCCTGACTGGGGAGGCAGGGACCATATATCTGTCTGCTTCCCCACCCCCATGTCAGGTGACAAGGACTTTGGAAGGGCCCAGTGGGGCAGGGGCCATGTTGGAGTAAACAAGCTGGAGAAATGGGGGAGGAGAGGACAAGCACGTGGGGGGACTCATGGGGACTGGATGGGAGGCAGGGGTGCAGGCCTTAGTGCATGCCAAGGGGGCATACTTTAGGCCTATTCAACATTCATTCCTTTTGAGGCTGAGGCTAGTAGTCCTTGGATTTGAATGCTGCAGGAAACAGGATTTCTAGGGTTTCTTTCTTTCTTTCTTTTTTCTGGAAAGCTCTGACATATCAAGCCCTCAGCCCTTAGTATCTTTGTTCCGTTATGGGTAGATTTCAGCTCCCAACCCTAATCCCCTTTTGCTGCAACTTGGCAGAGAGGTATTGGGGAACAGAAGAAAGAAGAAAGGAGATGAAATCAGGGGCAGGGGTGAGAGGAATGCTGGCTTGGGTCAGAGGGCAAGTCTGATTGATTCTGTCCCTTTTTAAGTTAATGTGTAATGAGACCAGGGAGAAACCACTAGAGCCAAGAATGACCTTCCTGAGTGCTGATAAATGAGCACAGCCCACCCCCAATAAAACAAATTCAGAAAGCAGCCTCTGCCCTCCCCCTCCCAATTAGAGTGCTCTGGCAGGAAAAAAGGTGAGTTGAGAGGCTTCCACCAAGGATAAATGTGGGAGGTCTTTGGTCATTTGGATCACCTTATCAGTTCTATCATTGGTCAGCCAATGTGAGTCAGCAGGGACCACAGCATCCCTTTGACCAAGGCCCCAGTCTTTATCCCAACCCTGACTGTGAGGGAGGGCAGAAGTACACTTCTAGGCCAAAGGCACTTGGGTGAAATCAGCCAGATATCAGAAGAATTCGTATCCTTTATCGTTTTGCCCTCCAAGTGTATGTAGAACATTCCTAAGAGATGGGAGTGGACATGTGAGTGCTAGTGAGGAAGGTGACCAGAGTCCAAGAAATCATACTCCATCTTCAATTATTTCTCTGTGGAGCACTTAGTATTTGAAGGGCATGCCATTAATTTGTTCGTGGCTTTGTAGTGGAGTGCATTTGAAGTCAGGAGTCCGTATTCCTAGATATTATTTGCCAACTCTGCCTGGGGAATCAGGGAAGGAAGGATTAACTACAGGGGTCAGCTGTTTCAGGGACTTGTTCTGCTAGAACTAAGGCTGCAGCCCCTGCTCCTCTACCCCAAACTCTCACACTTATTCCCATTCCATCGAGGGGACAAGGGGCCGAACTTTGAGAGGTGTAGACCTCCAGGAGGGAAGTGTGGCTCCATTTTCCTCGAGAGAGCTGTACCTGAGACTAGGAATCATTTGGAGGTGTACCGTATACTGTGAAGAACTGTGAAGAGGAGTCCCCAGGGGTTCCTGTGGGGTGGGGGTGGGGTGCGCAGTGTTCTGTTCGAAAGAAGTTTTCACAGTCGTTTCCTGGGCCACCCTTCAAAAACACGTATCCAGGCTATGTGGCGGAACGGACTTCAGTGGCTCAAGCTCCAAGATGCTCCCTCTAGTGTCTTGTACGCTTAAAGGTTTTTCCCGACCTTGGAGAGGCAGGGCGATCTAAGGCCACCTACCGGAGTCAGTCTAAGGACCTATCAAATCCCGCCTGTCTCTGCAGTGCCGGGGTTAGACCTCTCTGGATGCAAGGTTTGCCATTCCTTTGCTTCCTTCTCTCCCATTGGCCCCTGGGAGATCGAGGCAGCTTTTTTTTTTTTTTTTAATCGATTGGGCGGCGCACAATCAAGGGAGGGTTGGGTCTTTGAAATCTTTTCTTACGCCCGGTTCCAAGATGGCGTTCATGGCCACGCTGGGAATGCAGGGTGAAGCCGCAGTTCTGCCATCACTCAAGATGGCTGCCCCCATCAAGATGACCGGGGTGTGCCGGGGGGAAAGGGGCAGCATGATGGTCTGAGAAGGTAAGGGCTATTGCTCCATTGCAAGCCTCGCCTTGGGGCCTAGGAATGAAGAGTAGAAAGACTAGGAAGCTGGGTGATGTCTGTGGCGGGGACTAGGATTAGAGATTGGGGGAGGAGACAGGGGTGACAGGTGGGGGTGAGGGATTAAAGATGGGATGGGAGTGTGCCTGGGGTTCAAACTCCCCACCAGTGCCCTCTCTCCCCACTCCTCCTGTTCCAGGTCTAGCGTTGGACCATGTGGAAGTTTCTGGGACTGGGGAGTCGGATAATGGGGGGTGGGGCCCGTGGTGGGTAGAGGAAGCTATAGAGTCCTTTCCCAGGCCAACCCAGGCTCCTCCCATGTCCTCTGGAATGAAATGGGGAACACACTGGGCCTAGCACCAATGGGTGCTTTGCCCCGCCGGAGCCCCCGTCGAGAGGAACCTCTTCCCAACCCTGGGAGCTTCGATGAGCTGCACCGGCTATGCAAAGGTGAGAACTTGTCATTTGTGTGTCTCAAGTTGAAGGGGCAGAGAAGGGGAGGGTCTTGAGTGCTGGATGTCCAGTGATCGGAGCAGAAAAGGGGAGATCACAGCTGGGGCATCCAGCCCCAGTGAGGTTCAAGTGCCCCAATGGAGTGGAGAATTTCCCGTTTCAGGACTTGAAAGGAGGTCAATTTCTCCAAAGCACTTTCTGTGGGATTGAAAGGGGAGACTACTTCTTGGGGTAGGGATTCCTTGTCTGTGCTTATTCCTTCCCTTCCCCTCCCCTCCACCCCCTTCAGATGTATTCCCAGCACAGATGGAGGGAGTGAAGCTCGTTGTCAACAAGGTTCTGAGCAGCCATTTCCAGGTGCTCCCACTTCTCTGGCCCCTCCTTACTATTCCTCCCTGCCTGTCCCTGGATCTCCTTCTCTTTCCCTTTGTACTCCAGCCTTAGCCAGGCTATAGGGAACAAAGAGGGAGGATGTGGGGGCTCTCTTTACTTCCTTTGCCTGTGGGACTTGTTGCTTTTAATCTGTGTATGTTGGAATATTTGGGTTCCTTAAAAGACCTTCTGAGTGGAGAGAAGATGAAGGGTGGGACGGGGATTGAAATGGAGCAGGAATGCTTCTCCTCTATTGATTTCTCTTTCTCTAGGTGGCTCACACTGTGCACATGAGTGCTCTGGGCTTGCCTGGCTACCACCTCCATGCAGCCTATGCAGGGGATTGGCAACTTAGCCCCACTGAGGTGAGGGCTCCCCACACTTGGGTTATCTCCCTAAAAATCCCAGCTGGGACCCAGGTGTAGAGGAGGAGGAAATGTGTGTGTTATGGGGAAGAATGGTTTCTTCTGAATGGGAGAGGGTGGGGAAACATTTCTGTGGGAGGAGCTGAGAGTTTGTCTTTGTGGCTCCACCAGGGGGCGCTGGGTACAGCGAAAGAAATCCTGAACTTGGATTTAGGCTGAATCCTGCCACCCAGCTCAGTCTTACTGTCTACACTCTTCAACAGGTGTTCCCCACTGTGGTAGGGGATATGGACAGCAGTGGTAGCCTCAATGCCCAGGTCCTGCTCCTCCTGGCAGAGCGGCTCCGAGCCAAGGCTGTCTTCCAGGTGACCCATGGTTCCTGCCTTCAGACACTGAAGCATTTCCTCTTTCTCCTCCATGAGTGTCCTGCCCTGGGGGCTCTAGGAGGAGGAGCAGAGGCTATAGTGATCCTAAATAAGGAGAGAGATTTTACTTCTTGCTGTTCCTACCCAGACACAGCAGGCCAAATTCCTGACATGGCAGTTTGATGGCGAGTATCGGGGAGATGACTACACAGCCACTCTGACCCTGGGAAATCCTGACCTGATCGGGGAATCGGGTGAGGAATTGGCACAGGGTTCTATTCATCTTGGCTGCCCACTTGCTCATATTGGCTCTGCCTCTTCACTGTCTGTACAGTTCAGGGATTAGAAAAGAAACTTCTTGGGCAGGCTGGGGTGGGGACTGCTGAGGTGAGGGAGCAGTCCTATCTCTATGACTGACTCTGTGTCTCCCCACTCACCCACAGTGATCATGGTTGCTCACTTCCTGCAGAGCCTCACTCATCGACTGGTGCTAGGAGGAGAGCTAGTTTATCACCGGCGGCCAGGCGAAGAGGGGGCCATCTTGACACTGGCTGGGAAGTACTCGGGTACGGGGTGAGGCAGAATAGTGATGGGGAGGGAAATCCTGAGCTTGGCTGGGGTTCCTGGCCTGTGTCCTAATACAGTAACATTTCTTTTCTCTTGTACTTTGTTTTTCACAGCTGTACACTGGGTAGCTACATTGAATGTGGGATCAGGTGGGGCCCATGCAAGTTATTACCACAGGGCAAATGAACAGGTGAGTCTCCTGATCCCATCCCCCACACCTGCAAGTTGCTCTGGATCTCCCTCCACAGGCCCTACTGACCAACTGTTCTTCCTCCCCACACGACACATACATTTCACGCATGCCTTCATTCTGCTGATGCCCTGTAAGGACTCCTCTAGTCTTCATTGAGACAGATCCCTCTCCCATCCTTCCCCTTGGTTCTCAGGTTCAGGTTGGAGTGGAGTTTGAGGCAAATACAAGGCTACAAGACACAACCTTCTCCTTTGGTTACCACCTGACTCTGCCCCAGGCCAACATGGTGTTTAGAGGTGAGGCTTATTTAAATGACATTCAGAAGTGCTGAGGGATTGGGGAGACAGTGGGAAGGAAGCTCCGCCTTACTTCCGCCGACCCCTTTCTCCAAGCGCTGTTAAATAACCTAGTCTATATCCTCTTCCCCAACAGGCTTGGTGGATAGTAACTGGTGTGTGGGTGCTGTGCTGGAGAAGAAGATGCCCCCCCTGCCTGTCACCCTAGCCCTTGGAGCCTTCCTTAATCACTGGCGCAACAGATTCCATTGTGGCTTCAGCATCACTGTGGGCTGAGGTTGTCCCAGAGCCAGCCCGCACAGCAGCTGGAACCTCTGAGTCAGGTGCCCTAGGGCCAGAGACTAGGCCCTTCCCCAGAGCCCACCTTGCTGGGTGATCTCTAGGGCCCAGGAGCCAGAGTGGGGACAGGACCATGCCCTCCTCAGAACTGGAGCTGCCACAGGGGCAGCTGCTGAGGCAGTGGTTTGAGGCTCCCCACTCTGTCATCAGCCCCAGAATCATCTTCCCATGCTCTTGTGGCTCTGGACTAAGGGAGAAGGATTAAGGGGTATGTCTGGCTGATTTTCCTCTCCTCACTCCCATTTCCTTCATTTCCCTGTGGATTAAAGCTCCTAGCCTCTTCCTCTTCAGAGCAGAAAAATCTGCATGGGATTAGCTCCCCATCCTCTTTTCCATCCCAGAGTCTCCCAAGGCTGGGAAGGAAGGGCTGAAGGGCTAAATCTTTGGCCTCAGAAAGTGGGGCTCACCTATTCCCAGAAGCAGCTTCTTTACCTCTTAGCCCTGGGGCTTCCTCTTTCCCCATCTTCTGTGCTTCCAGAGAACAACTTTGTCCCCATGGCGACCCCTCACTGTCCCCATTACTGCATGAAGAGGCAGTTATTGCTTTAATCTTTCATTGCAACCAGGGGGCTCCATTTCTACTGGCCCCAACCTATGGTTCCAGCGTTTTCCCCTTTCCAGTCCAATGTGTCCAGGTGGGCTGGGAAAGGAGGTGGACTGGGCCTTAGCTGCAGATCTCCTGGAGCAGTGGCATCATGGTGGACAGTCCCTGGATGTGCTGGATTTGGTACCCATATGCATTGTTAATGCTCCGGAGCTCAGCCAACAGGCCCAGCAGCTTCGCATATAGAAACCTGGGAAGAAGTAGTGGGGTCACCAGGGAAAGAGGAGGGAAATAAAGCAGCTGAGAGTCTTGTCCTGAGCCCTGATTCCCTGAACCACCCCTCAGTGAAGCTAGGTCTGAACACTAGAAAATATGCTCTGGTGTGACAAATGTACCAAAAGTTCCAAAGGTCCCCAAGGGGGCCTCTGACACTGACTCCTTTCACTATGCCATTTTTCTTGAACCCAGAGCTCTGAGCCCCAAGTGTGAAGAAAACCCCAGACTTGGCCAGATTTTCAACTGTGTGGCATCTGAGGATCTGGCCTTCCAGAGCAGGTTCCAGAAGGTGGATGTGTTCTGTGGTATAAAGCATCCCTTTTCTGGCCGAGTGGGCTCATTGAGGAATAAGCAAGAATAGAAGTGGAGCATACCTTAGAGCCTGGATAGATCATGGACTGTGATACAGGGACTGGCTTTGGCCATGAAATTGAATGACCATAAGTTCAAGGGGAATGAAAAATTAAAGGAATTGGACCAATGGAGAGGAGGGGAAGGGCCAAGGAAAGAGAGTGAACAAAACTGTTGAAAGGCTGCTCTAGTCTGGAGAAGTTGCTTGGTGAGGTGATGGATGTCATCAATCTCAGGAATGCTATTATACAGAGCCTATGAGCTACTACCTTGCATCTCTACTGAATAAAAAAATATGGAAAAAGTGAGATGAAATAGCAGTAGGAGCAATTTGGATGCCGGAACTCTATGAGATGGGAGGGAAGGACTAGACCTTCAAGGGCCCTGGTTTCCCAAAAGAAAGGACAGCAAAAGCTTCCTGAGTTCAATGTCTCCCTAACCCGTTCCTGCTCTGGTATAGCCTCCAGTCCCACCATACCGGTCCCGGGGATTTGGCTGCTGGCCTTTGATGTATCTCTGCAGAGTCAGTGCCATCTCCTCTTGCAACTGATCAATCTCCTCCCTCCGGGTTACCCCAGGCCGGTCTGTAAGATAGGGAGTAGGGCAGGACAAGGTTGGGGGTTGTGGGTAGCCTGCACAGGGGGGGACCCAAGGCTGAGATAGACCCATTCCAGTGGTTTGAAGACTAAGGCTTGGATGGGTGGATGCAGGGAGCTGGGAGTTTGGGCAGAGGTGGTGGAACAAAAGCTTTTGGGCTTTGGGGGATACTCACCAGGAGAGAAGAGGGCCATGGCAGCCATGAGCACATACTCGGGCTCCTGGAGCTGTAGTCGCCGCAATGTCCTATGGAAGCCAAAGAGCAACTCCAAAAACTCTTCCTGAAACCCCGCTGTGGGAGACACAAGGCTTAGGAGCCTTTGGTTCACCTTGCCACATACCATACCAAAGGGATGCCTTCTACTGTTCTAGCACCATCTCACCATGCACTGCATCTTCTATTGTGTAGCGAAGAGGCCCACAGAGGAAGTTTTGTGTTTGGAGACAGAAAGTGGTATTGAGTGCTATATGACAGATTTCTATAGCTGCTCCTTTGAGAAGGGAGATCTGGTCCTCCATGGGCAGGGACCTGTGGGGAGTAGGTAACCGGCACTTCAGACTCTAGCCTGAACTTCAGAGAGGGAGTGGAACTCCCAGTTCTGATTGGATACTTAAAAACAAAGCTGGGAATTCAAGACCTGGCTTTTGGAAAGGCTGAGGGATGGGTTAGTTTGGTCAGTGACTTTATTTATTTTTGGTCGGGGGCAGATTATAGTTCACGAGTGTTTTCTTCCTGAAAGGTAAGGAGAGGTCACATACCGAAAGAGGGGGAGATCCTTGGTGAACTTGATGATTTGCTGTACCATGAAAGTATTGACGTCTGCAAAGTGTGTGAGCAGCGCCAGTGCAGGGACCAGGGTGGGCAAGCGCTGGTGATGGGTGAACAGATGAGCTGGAGGCTGCAGAGATCAGAACCTAAGTAAGAGGCACCCCCTCGACCACCCCTTAGGAATCCCCTTTAGGCCTCTCCAGCTTTATCTTGGATGGGTTCTAGGCTGAGGAATCTGCCCCACTGAGGTTCCGGAGAAGTCCCGTCCTCTGTATTGGTGCATGGCACACAGCCCCCTCCCTCAGGCCAGCCTCCTTGGGCACCCTTTTTGTCACATTCCAGCTTGAATCCTGTAAGTGCTCACCCTGAACTGCACAAACTGGTGAAACATGGGGCCCACGTGGCGGGTGTGGGCCCCCAGGAGTGTCTGGACTAGCTCTTTCTGCTCCTTACTCAGCTGCATCGATGCTTGCTGTGCCCGTCGTTGGGCCTGTCTCGCTCGCCGCAATGCCAGGGCTCCTGCTGATAGGATCACTGTGCCCAGGGAAGGGATGTGACAAAGCTATTGAGACCAGCAGAGAGCGACTTTCTCTGCCAGCCCCTGGTCTGTGACCCTCAGACACTGCACGATGAAGGACACAGGGACAGAGGAGAGTTCCTGAGGCCTCCTTGGGCTTGGGTAAAGTCCCAAGGGCTCCAGGTGGCAGGAGGTTCCTGTACACTCTCCTCGACCTGAGAGGCACTGCATTAGAAAACAATGCACTGTGGGAGGGAAAGAGAGGATGGAAAGTAAAGTGGGAACAGTGGAAGGAGATGTTTGGCTTCTGGGGAAATGTTGAAGCGGGAGGACTCTTGGTACCTAAAACATCACCTATGTTTGCATGGCATTGTAATTTCAAAGGTTCTGAGGTTAAATCTCCATGGGTAAAGAGGGCAGGTGTTATCTATATTTTTCAGAAACACAAACAGGCTGACATTCCAGTGACAGGTCCAAGATTACATATATGATGTAGTTTGAATTCAAACCAAGACTTTTTTTGACTTCTACAGTTTCCACTGCTCCGTATTGAACAGTAGTGTGATGTCATAGAAAAAGCAAGTGTCTGACGAATACTGACCCTATAGCTTTTCAGCTGAGTAGACTTGGGCAAGTTGACTTCTGTTACATTAAGTTGACTACAAGTTACATTATTTGTTGGGAGCATAGCCTAATTATCTGGCACAGAGGAAAAGCATTAAATAATTAATTTAACAATGATCAAGTACCTACGATGTGACAGGCAGTATGCTTGAAAAATAGAAGAGAAAGAGCAAGCCATAGAGGAAGAGTGTTCCGGGTAGAAGCAATGGCAAGTGTAAGTAGAAGTTACAACAGTCCCGAGGATAGCGCGCTTGGTGTGTTTGAGAATGGCATTGATGTCAGTGTGGTTGGGATGGACTGAGCAAGGGGAAGAGGAGGAAGTAAAATCTGAGAGGTGGTATTGGGGAGCTCAACCATGAGGTCATGGACCATAAGAGAGATGAGGAGCCCTTGGAGGTTTTGAGCAGAAAAGTGACACTGTCTGACTTGTTTAAAAAGCTTACTCTGCCTGCTGTGTGGAGAATACGCTGTGGGAACAAGGGCAAAGCATAGTCAGTGGAGAGACATAGTCAGTGGATTCTAGGGATGGTAGGGGGCCAACTCACTGTCTTTCTTCATGCCAGCATCTAGGCACTTCTGCAACCTGCAGGCTGGGCAGTGGCGCCTCTGGGCCTTGCTGACCTTACAGCTTCCCGCAAAGGGACAGGTGAGAGCAGTGCTTTTGTTGACTGTTCGCCTGTGAAGACGGAGACATGAAGGGTCAGGGATGGTAGCGAGCAGGTGGGTATGTGAGGGGCCCAAATGACATGTTCTAAAAGAATTTATGGTGACATGGGCTAATCTGAGCTGTGCCTAGAGGCCCCTAGGGGTGGAGAGGATACAATGCATCTCAAGCATTTCCACCGGGGCACAGAATCAGGAAAGCCTGGTTGATGCTGTACTAGCTTGCTGCTTGCCTTGAATGAAGACACTTGACTAAGGAATTGTGGCCATAGGACAGATGATCTGCCTTCCCTCTGTAATTTTGCCACCTGTTTATACAGTGTTGAGGTTGGCAATTTGCAGCATAGCCAGCCACAGGGTAGTTAGGCTCCAGGATGCAGGAATGATGTAGCAGGACAAGCTTGGGCATGTGCCAGGGCTTAAGGGCTGCCTGCAAGCAGTTTGAGAGTTTCAGTTTGGGAGGAGGTTCTCACCTGAAGAAACCCTTGCAGCCCTCACAAGTCAGGGCATGGAAGTGGTAGCCCGTGGCTCTGTCCCCGCACACCACACAGTACCTTGGCTCATCTTCCCCGCTGGTCATGGCTTCAGGTGTTGGGGTGGCTGTCACAGGCCCCTGAATGTGGAGGGGTTAGCATTCAGCTCTGGACCCTCTTGACCCTCTTCTCCCCCTTCTGCAGAACCTCTTCACAAACCTGCCCTGGGCCTGACCCTCTGTGTTATCTGAACTTTATTGCTTTCAGTTTCTGGCCCCCAAAAGGTTTCCTACCTGCTCCTTTTAGGCAGCATGTCACCTGTAGGCCCTGACCCTCTGTGTTATCTGAACTTTATTGCTTTCAGTTTCTGGCCCCCAAAAGGTTTCCTACCTGCTCCTTTTAGGCAGCATGTCACCTGTAGGCCACAGAATCTGGTGTCGGATTCTTCTCAGACTACCACTCTGACCCCGCTTTCCCCTTGATCTCAGGAGCTACCGGAGTTAAGAGTTATGGATTATGGCCTCAGTACCTGGAAAACAAGGAACACCTGGTATGTGTGGCTTCCAGTTGTTCTCAGCGACTACCAGGATAGGGCACAGACTCTGGACCCAGGGCAAAGGCTTGGGTGGGAGGTGTTCCCAGCATGCCCATGGTGCTGGTTGCTGCCACATGGGGAGGGACCCTGGTAGGTAGGAACCTCATGACTCATTAGAAGCTGTGCCTCATTGGATCCGTTTCCCTACTGCCGAGCTTCAGGCTAGATCTTCAGCCTCCCCTGTACATGGATCCTAGACAAGCTGCGGGGAGAGACAGAGAGAGACAGAGCAAGTGTTCTCACACGCAGTATGTCAACAGTAAAAGAACAGACAAAACAATTGCACCAGGCTCTCAAAAGGAGAGTTCTTCAAAAGAGACTGGGGTCTAATCAAGAGCTGATGCAAAGAACTAGAAGAGGTCCTATTTCCCAACTAAGAAGGGCTGAGAATTAAATCAAAGTGGGCTCAAATAAATTAGAGGTAGTTGGGATTGATTTGAGGGCTCTTGCATTAAAGCTGGCTTCATCGAAGTGTGACCTGTGCAGTCACACAGGCTCTGTACTCAAAGTGGTTTCAGGTTTGGTTTAATGCTCTGCTGTTGCTGCTGTCTTGAAATTCTTCATGATTTTTGAACAAGGGGCCCTGCATTTTCATTTTTTAGTGGGCCATGCAAATTATGTACCTGGTCCTGTCTGGAGCCAAGATGAAGGACTTCTAATTAATAAGTTTAAGAATCAGAAGTAGGAGTCTTCACTGGGGTTGTAAAGTGTTCCATAGACATTGAAGAATAATTTTGCAAATGTAGATAGTGTATACACACACACACACACTCTCTCTCTCCCAATGCCTATGAACAGAAAAAGTAATTCCAAAAGCTATTTGGATGTTTTAGAGATGGATAACATGTTAGATACATCTATGTTGGATAAATCTGATCCCACACACTGGAATAAGTTCCAAATCTCAGTCTTTCAATTTGAAAGGTCCTTCTCATTGCACATCTCCCTGTATGTTTGCTATTTCTGCACTTATACAGTCTTCTCTCACTGGAAATAAGCATTTTTCTTTTTTCCCTTTTTATTTTTTGTCATGTATCTGTCTCTTTAGTTAAGGGTTAAATTATAGTTAATGTCGCTCTAAAGATGAGTTAAAAACCCAAGTGCAGGCTAGAGCCATAAAAACACACTTGCAGAGAGAGACAGAGGCAGAGAAGAGACTGAGTTAAAAAGAGCCTTGTTCAGGTCCCCAGGATAAGTTGGTGGAACCCTTCATCATGTAGGTACAACATCCAGCTATGCATAACTTATTGCATTTTGAAATAATCTGAGTTCCAGAGGGCACAGGTGCTTAGATCTGGTCTTGGGAGTTGGTAAGCCTATATATGTGTATGCATCTGTTGGTATCTTTGCATGAGTAGGACTGTGAGAATTTATACTAATGCAATCAACAAATATTGACTGAGAACCTACTATATATGAGACAATAGGGGGAAAAAGATGAATAAGATATTCTCCCGCTCTCATGGAGTTTAAACATGCTAGATGGGAAGACATACCTTTACAAAGATGCAAATAAATATGTGGTCAGATCACTGATGATGCTTGCACAGAGCATTATGGGATCACAGGAGAGGGGCACCTAAACCTGCTTTGGCAAAGGGGTGTTTAGGAAGAGGCAGGAAAAGCTTCCTGGAGGAATGGCAACTGAGTTGATTTTTAAAGGATAATGGGGAGTTAGCCAGGTAAAAATAAAAGACAGTTCAGGTAGAGGGTGCAACCTGAGAAGTTCAAGAAGCCAGATACAAAAAACAGCTATGGTAGAACCACAAATATGCCTTTCTTGCTGGAGCATATCATTTCAGGCTGGAAGTGGGAAGAGAGAAGTCTAAGAGATAAGGGATGATGCTGAGATGTAGGCAAGGCCAGTCCACGAGAGACTGCATATGCCAGAGAAAGCAGTGTGATTCCATCAGAAAGCTTTTAAAGGGTAAGATGGAAGATGACATTGTCAGATCTAGTCCAGATATCTAACTACTGGCTGCTTGGAAGATGGATTTGAGGAAGCAGGACTGGAGGCAAAGAAACCAGTTAGAAAGCTATTGCCATAAAATAGGTGAGGGATTAAGCCTGAGCTAGGATAGCGGTCGGATGTAGTGGAGGATCGTGTTTTGAGAAATACATGGGAGATGAAATAACTGGAACTTGGTGACTACTACAATGTCTGGGCTGAGAAAGAGGAAGAGGAGTTAAAGACAACTCCAGGTTCCTAGCATGGGTGATTGAGTGTTTGGTGGTACCACCAACTGGGAGAGGGATTACAGGAGGAGTGCGGGGCCCTCTGTCCTTGGGCCCCTGTCCACTTCCACAGCTGCCAAATTACTCTAGCAATAAGTTATTAAGTACCCACTCTGTGGTGAGGCACTGTGGGGAGGGATAAAAGAGAGGGTTCCTATCATCAAGGAACTTACTATCTAATTGTGGAGACTGCATAAGTAAATTGAACTCCTAGATCTTACAAGGAAATATATGATCAAACTCTAAATTGGGTGGTAAAGATTATATATCATACTATAAATGTCAATTGTTTCATTAATTTGTTCCGAGTGCCCAATATGAGCAGTGTACTGTGTAAGAATCCTTATCTGTGTTAACACTAAAACGTAGGTGATATCACCACTTTACAGATGAGAAGACCGAGGCCAGAGAGTTTAAATAACTTGTACAAGGATTACTATACCTAGTAGTTTATTAAATTACTTCACTTGGATGTCACATAGGCATCTCAATTCAATGTGTCTAAAATGGAGCTTTATGACATCTAAGGCACAAGCAACAAAATAAAAAACAAGCAAGTGGGACTACATCAATCTAAAAAGCTTCTGCACAGCAAGAGAAATGATCAACAGAATGAAAAGTCCACTTGCAGAATGGGAGAAAACATTTGCAAACCATACATTCGATAAGGGTTAATACCCAAAACAAATAAAGAACTCATACAACTCAATAACAAAACCCCCAAATAATCCAATTTTAAAATAGGCAAAGGACCTGAATAGACATTTTTCTGAAGCAGATATTCAAATGGCCAACAGGTTCATGAAAAGGTGCTCAACATCACTGATTATTATGGAAATGCAAATCAAAACCACAATGTGGTTATCATACCTGTTAGAATGACTGTCATCAAAAAGACAAGAAGTATAAAAATTGTGAATCACTATGTTGTACACCTGAAATGTATATAATATTGCACATCAACTATACTTCAATACAAAAGTATCTAAAAAAAAAAGACAACAATGTTGGTGAGGATGTGGAGAAAAGGGAACCCTTGTGCACTGTTAGTGGGAATGTAAATTGGTACAATCACTATGGAAAAGATTATACAGGCTCCTCAAAAATTAAAAGTAGAACCACCAAATGATCCAGCAATTCCACTTCTGGGTATATATCTGAAGAAAACACAGTTGCAGCCTTATTTATAATAGCTAAGACTTGGAAACAACCTAAGTGGCTATCAATGGGTAAAGAAGATGTAAGATATATATGTTTATTATATATAATATATATTTAACGTATAATCTATGTTTAACTCAGCATAAAAAAGAAGGAAATTCTACCATTTGTAACAACATGGATGAAACTTGAGGGCATTTTGCTGAGAAAGTAAGAGAAGGACAAATACTGTATTCTCTCACTTATATGTGGAATCATAAAAAACTCTCAAACTCCTAGAAATAGAGACCAGAGTGGAGGGGGTGTTGAGTGAAGCTGGTCAAAAGGCACAAACTCCTAGTTGTAACTTAAATAAATTCTGAGGTTGAATACAACATAACTATAGTTAAAAATACTCTTGTATATTTGAAGGTTGCCAAGAGAATAGATCTTAAAAGTTCAAGCCCTCATCATTTTCCACTTGTCACTTCAAGTAGCCTACTAAATTATTCTCCCTATGACCAGCTTCATCTCTTTCCAACCCATCCTCCATGCTGTTGCTATTTCTAAAATGCAAATTTGATCATGTCTCTCTCCTGCTTAAAATTCTTCATTTGCTTCTCATCACCTTCAGGGTAAAATACAATCTCTTTAGCATGTCACACAAAGTACTTTGTGATCTGGCTCCTATTTATCACTCTGACCTCATCGGTCCCAACCCCACTTCCCTCCCCTGACCTGACGCATCACACTTCTGCTCTAGATATGCTTACGCTTTTAGAGTTCCCTGAACAAGCTATGCTCACACACCTCTGAACATCTGCCCTTGTTATTCTGTCTGGTTGGAATTGCCACACACACCCCACTTCCAAACTGCCACACATCCCCCTCCCCGTGACTCCCGATCCTTTTGGCCTTTCATACCTGAGCATAGCAGATCATCTATGGGAGCCTGTGGGTTAGAGCTACATGTTTGCACACACGTTTATTGCAGCACTTATCACACTGAAGAGCAACCATCTCTTTCTCTCTGACTCTGTCAATCAACTGCGAGTCGTTGAAGTCAAGAGCTACATCTTTTATTTTTGGATCCTTAGGGTCTTGTATACTCCAGGAACATATAATAAATGTTTATGGAGTAAATAAATGGGCTTGGATATGAATTAAGATCTGATTCCAAACTCATGCTCATTCCATGTGGCATCATATGTAATTATTTGTGAATGTGTTCATTTATTAAACAAGTACTTAATGGGTATCTGTTTTGCCAGGTATTTTCTAGCAATGCAGGTTCCATGTCATCTGGATACATTCTTGTCTCCCTTTTGTCTGCTGTCTTTCATAGCTGATTTTCCTTTGCTGTCCTGAGTTTCTGACAGGATACTCATTAGTCTTCTAGTATATTCTGGTCTGTTTCCTGACTCCTTTCTGACTTTGGAACCATGCTACCTGCTGTTCTTACCTGCCATGTTTGCATCTGACATGTGATCAACCTCACTCAGGTGGCTACTGAGCCAAATTTCCAGTCTGGACCTGCTTTTTCCTGTTTGGCCTCCCAGGTTTTAGAGCAAACACTTCCTTGAAAAGGAGGGGTTTAGGCTCCCGCCTTTCCTTTGTACTTTGTAATCTGGTTTTGATCTTCTTTTTCTAAATTCTTATTCTCATTCTAGTATGTGAATACCTTCAAAATCTACAACTCCAGTTCCAAGCATAGGATTTTAATAGTCTTAGTAGTTCCTCCTGTTGTCTGTTCAGATTAAATCTCATTCTCTTCCTTTCTCTGGACTCCCAGTGCTCTTGTCCAGACTTCCACCACAGCACCTATAACAATGCTGCACCTTCGCTTTCCCATGACCACCTCTCCCCTTCTAGACTGTAGGCTCTATGTCACGTGGGTCTTCTTTTCCCAATCCCTAGCATAAGTCCTGGTCACAATGTGTGTTTA